CCCCCATGATGCGTCACTGCACACTTTTTATTTCGCGCCCATGGACTATAATAAATATTCTGATGTCCCAACCACTTTTAAACCGAATATTTTTGTTTACACCATACTTAAATTGAGACGATTTCATCTTCCGAAAAGAAAATATGACGCGACAAACGCAGTTGCGTTGTATTTAAAAAAAAACTATAATTAAAGTTATCGGGAATTATATTTTGCGCGCTATGAACTCATTATTGAACCAAACTTTCTTTCAAACATTTAGGATTTATGTAATATACTCTCAATCATCCTAATTTTGATAGTTTAAAAGTCCCATACTACCAAGGTGTTTAAGGAGTATGTAATATGGGAGCAGTAGGGTTGGCGTAGAATTGTAAAAACTAAATAGTGACGTCATTAATAGCATGTGTACTTTTGATGACGTTTTACTCACAACGTTTTTTATTTTAAAAAAAAAATAATTAATAAATCCATTTACATTAGTACTAGTACTTTGGTACGGAATACCTTCTACTTGAACAAAATGTTTGGATATTTTAATAAAACCAGAAGAGCGAACACATGAGTAATTCATAAATATATTTTCAACTTTTTAAAATTCACCAAACAATAAAATAATTGTCGTTGTCATCGAAACCTGATTAAATCCTTTATTTTAGTTCACCACACAATCCCCACCCTCCATTGATTTTTTTGGGTTGTTATTTTCGTTGTTGAAACCAACTGTCGGATAAGTCATTAGTCATTAACTGTTGGTTAAATCAATTTAATTTAAAAAAAAAAAACATTTTGGTAAGCTTCGCATTTTACCCGAGTTGATAGGGGCGTGCAATTTTGACCTAAGTTGCGGGTAATTTACCCCGGTTCGATGAACCCTGGTCAATGTTCCCTTTAAGCTGCGCGGCTGAGCGGCCGCGCAGTAATGTCACAGACGCCGCGCAGCAGTTTTGAGTACCGCGCAGCAGTTTTGAGTACCGCACAGCTAATTTCCACTTAAGTGTGTGTTTGTTGTGTCTGTAGGCTGTAAAATTTTGCACACAAAAAAATGGACGCTGTAAAAATTTGCTCACAACTTTATGATTTTGCTCACGAACCAACAAACCTTAGAGGGAACATTGCCCCAGGTCTATCAGGAGCAACCGTCTGTTTTTAGGTAATCGAGAGTAAGACTTATTTCTCTCTCCCTCCCCCTCTCTCTCTCTACTCTCTCTCTCTCTCTCTCTCTACTCTCTCTCCTTATCTCTCTCCTTCTCTCTCTCTCCCTATCTCTCTCCCTCCCCCTCTCTCTCTCTTCCCTCTCTCCCTATCTCGCTTCTCTCTCTCTCTCTCTCCCTATCTCTCTCCCTTCTCTCTCTCCCTATCTCTCTCTCTCTCCCTCCCGCCCTCTCTCTCTTTCTGTACGCACGTTTGTGAAAGAGCGCTGCCGTCAACACACACAATAAAATCCAGGTGTACGTCTTCATGGTGGTAAGCTGCTGTGAATGAATGAGAAAGGAGTTACATACAAGTAAATACACACATATACAAATACAAGCATTCAAACACACACATTCAAACACACGCATAAAAATACACACATATATAAGGGCACATAAACAAACACACTCACATACAAACACACACGTACAAACACATACACATTCAAACACACACATATACAAACACATACATACAAAAACACACACATACAAACGCGCACATACTCAAACTCACTAATACTAAAAACACAAGTATTGAAATGCATATCCAAACACACACACTAACAAACACACATATACAAACACACACATATACACACACGAACATCTTCAACATACACACACTCAAACACACGCATACAACATACACAATTTCATGTATAAACATGCATATAAAAATACACATAAAACACACACACACACATACAAACACATACATGCAACACACACGCATATACAAACACATCTTAGTTCGTCAGTCGAAATTGATCACTAAAATTTTAATCATCGAGTGTGTGTCGGTGCTGGCTCTGTCTGTGGGCGTGCAGATGTGTGTCGGTGCTGACTGTGTCTGTGGGCGTGCAAATGTGTGTTGGGGCTGACTGTGTCTGTGGGTGTGCAAATGTGTGTTGGGGCTGACTGTGTCTGTGGGCGTGCAGATGTGTGTTGGGGCTTACTGTGTCTGTGGGCGTGCAGATGTGTGTTTGGGCTGACTGTGTCTGTGGGCGTGCAGATGTGTGTTTGGGCTGACTGTGTCTGTGGGCGTGCAAATGTGTGTTGGGGCTGACTGTGTCTGTGGGCGTGCAAATGTGTGTTGGGGCTGACTGTGTCTGTGGGTGTGCAAATGTGTGTTGGGGCTGACTGTGTCTGTGGGCGTGCGGATGTGTGTTGGGGCTTACTGTGTCTGTGGGCGTGCAGATGCGTGCTGGGGCTTACTGTGTCTGTGGGCGTGCAGATGTGTGTTGGGGCTGAGTGTTAGACATGCTTGGGATGTACGATGGAAGTCTGTCGTGGTAGCCTTGCTTGGGTTGTACGATGGAGGTATGGTGTGTTAGACGTGCTTGGCTTGTACGATGGAAGTCTGGTGTGTTGGACGTGCAAATGTGTGTTTGGGCTGACTGTGTCTGTGGGTGTGCAAATGTGTGTTGGGGCTGACTTTGTCTGTGGGCGTGAAGATGTGTGTTTGGGCTTACTGTGTCTGTGGGCGTGCAGATGCGTGCTGGGGCTTACTGTGTCTGTGGGCGTGCAGATGTGTGTTGGGGCTGACTGTGTCTGTGGGCGTGCAAATGTGTGTTGGGGCTGACTGTGTCTGTGGGTGTGCAAATGTGTGTTGGGGCTGACTGTGTCTGTGGGCGTGCAGATGCGTGCTGGGGCTGACTGTGTCTGTGGGTGTGCAAATGTGTGTTGGGGCTGATTGTGTCTGTGGGTGTGCAAATGTGTGTTGGGGCTGACTGTGTCTGTGGGTGTGCGACTGTGTGCTGGGGCTTACTGTGTCTGTGGGCGTGCAGAGGCGTGCTGGGGCTGACTGTGTCTGTGGGTGTGCAAATGTGTGTTGGGGCTGATTGTGTCTGTGGGTGTGCAAATGTGTGTTGGGGCTGACTGTGTCTGTGGGTGTGCAAATGTATGCTGGGGCTGACTGTGTCTGTGGGTGTGCAAGGAATGGATGGGACATTTTCAGGTGCAAGGAATGGTAGGGACGTCTCCCGGTGCAGAGTTAACACGCGGTTTTCTGGCTTGTCTTGTTCAACCTGCAGCCCTTGTCCTGTTGGCTTCGTCTTGCATGGAGCCTTGGTGTTGGGAGCAGAGCCACGAAGCTCGAGGAACACACACATACAAATACACACACACACATGCTTACAAAAATAAGTATTGAATGATCTTAAAATTGATGATTGCGTAAAATATGAATTATTTTTTGATTTTTTAAAAGTTATTTAAATAAATATACTGAATAAGGACTCTGTCTGATTGACAATGAGTCAATGAGTTAATTTTTGAAATAAATATGCAACAATTAATTTTAATCGCTTTTAATTTGTTTTAAAGATATACACACGCGCAACCAACACACACAAACAAACACACAAGCACACACACACACACAGTTATAATAGTAATCAATATCAAATAATACACATCTTTAATTGTTCTATAATAATTTAAATATTTTTTGTTGGGTTGGGGGGGGGGGTAATTATAATTAAATAAATAGTCCAAAAAGCACAAGTCTCAAACTAGATTCTTATGACACAGTAACAACACACAGTTATAATAGTAATCAATATCAAATAATACACATCTTTAATTGTTCTATAATAATTTAAATATTTTTTGTTGGGTTGGGGGGGGGGGGTAATTATAATTAAATAAATAGTCCAAAAAGCACAAGTCTCAAACTAGATTCTTATGACACAGTAACTTAAATGGTATTCACTTTTGAATTCAAATTCCAAAGTACTTACATAGATTTAATCCTCACAACTGTGTGAAATATCCGTTGGTTAACTGTCCGTTGGTTAACTGCCCGTTGGTTAACTTTCCGTTGGTTAACTGTCCGTTGGTTGACTGTCCGTTGGTTGACTGTCCGTTGGTTCACTGTCCGTTGGTTCACTGTCCGTTGGTTCACTGTCCGTTGGTTCACTGTCCGTTGGTTCACTGTCCGTTGGTTGACTGTCCGTTGGTTGACTGTCCGTTGGTTCACTGTCCGTTGGTTAACTGTCCGTTGGTTCACTGTCCGTTGGTTAACCGTCCGTTGGTTAACTGCCCGTTGGTTAAATGTCCGTTGGTTAACTGTCCAATCGTTAAATATTGATGGCAACAAAGTGGATGTCCACGCACACATAGCTCTAAGGGAGTGACACAGGATCTATTTAAAGGTTTATTTTATTACAGGGGACACACAGATTAAAGTACGGTCAAATGTTACACTTATTTTTATTTTAAAAAATTGAAAAAATTATTTTTGTTTTTTTTTTTTTTT